CACTGGGTGGGTTGTAGATATGGGAAAGAGGCCTGTCTTTAGAATAAAGAAAGACTTTTAAGGTATTTTTAACCATTTGCTTCTACACAAGCAGGTGCTTTAGACTGCTGAGCTATCTTGCCAGTCCTAATGATTCTTTTTCTAAAGAAGGGAATATTTTTTCAGTACATATTGAGTAGAAAGATTATGGGTCACAGTAGGAAAGTCAACAACTCACAACACTGTTCTCTCTGTCTCTCTCCCTCATTTTTCCTATTTATTTATTCATTTTCATTTATGTATTTGGTACAGGGTCTTACTATACAGCTCAGACTCAGTGATTCTCCTGTTTTTAGCCTTCCCAGAGCTGGGATTACATGCATGGGCCACTATGCCCAGATTCATATTTTTCCTGCTTAAGTAACACATGATTTCTGTAGAATTTGAGGAAATTATTGCCACATATTAGTCAAGTTAAAACCAAAACATAACTGATTTGCAATTACCAAAGATATTGCCAATCAACTCTTACCAAACTATCTTCTCTATAATCTTTCAATACTTTTCTTTATATTTTTCCTGTACACTATCCTATGATGATTGTTGCTTTATTTTTTATTCATTTAATATATCAAACATATCTTTCTAAATCCATAAGTAAAATTAATGGTTTTGCAATGCTAAAATGTATAAATGGAATAGAATTTGTTATTAGCACTATCTATATATAGAATGGCATTCTATTGTTTCAGTCTTGGTGCTTTTCTAGTGAACACATTTGTATTTGTGTCCCCTGAGTCTTCTCACATGACCTTCAGAGTAGTTGAATAATTGCTTTTGTGAATGTTCTTTTTTTTTAATGTATCTGGTTCAGGTTCTCAACTACAAAGCTTGGACTCGTAGTGACCTTCCTGTTACAGCTTCCCCAGAGCTGGAATTACAGGCGTGTGCCCCCATTCATGGTCTCTGTGACTGGCACAAGAGGTACCAGGGATCGAATCCAGACCCTTGCATTTGCCTAGGCAGACTCTTAAACCACTGAGCTACCTCTGCATCCCCTTTTGTGCATATTCTGTAAACTTTTTTGCCAATTTGAATCTTCCTGTAACTAATGTTTTTCTTACATAGGACTTAGCACTGTTAACTGTAATGCCTCCCAATTTTTTTTCCTTACAATAATTGATCATATTGATGAAAAATCAGATTCAAATACAATCCTGCAGATGCTGACCACACGTAATGTGCCATGACAGGCCAAGTGCAGCACTTTCAAATATGTAGAGTGCTAACACATCTCTCCTTGCTTATACCCATAAAGTTCACGGCCCACTATTTCCTCAGATACTTTTTCTTACAAATTAATCAACTTTCTCTCCATGAAACCTTTTTTTTTTTTTTTTTTTTTTTGGTATCAGAGATCAAACTCAGGACTTCGTGCTTCCCAGGCATGTGCTTATGCCATGGAGCTGTCTCCCCGGCCCCATGAAAGCATTCTTTTGAAACTCAATGAATCCCGTCCACTGTGAGGGAAGGAAATTGGAGTTGTAGAAATATGTCCCTGGTTTTCCAGACCCTGTTTTTGAGGAAAACTGTGTATCCATGTTTAAGGACATAGCTCTGGTCAAAGTGTCTGAGTTTATATAAAGTAGGACATAGTCAACCCATTTCTTTCTGATCAATGCAATAGATCATTATTTCTTGGGAAGAGGCACTATGAGTTGGATTTTCAAAATGCCCCAAATGTTACAATGGTAGTTTGAAGTCTTTGACATTTGTGTGGTTTGTCGTAGTCATCATTCTTTATTTTCATCACTACTCAATTTTTCACATTTTTATTTTCTGTTTTTCACTTCAGAGCAGAGCACTATATTTGAATATATTATTATGTTGTAACTTGGTACCTAAATATTTCATAAAAATATGTAATCCCCTACCCCTTGTGTTGATCGTGTGATAATCATGCATTGTTTCAGAAAGATAATGCTGGTTCAGCAAAAGTTCTTACATCTGTGTGTCATCTATCTTATAGTTCCTACAGCTGGTCTATACTGATTCCTTAGCCTTTCCTTTCAGTTGTATAATACCTCTCTAGCCTACCCTTTGCCCTAAATCTCTATGATTCTTCTTGGGTCAATGTTGTGATTGAGATTGCTCTCATACAAAAGTAGCTATGTGTATTTCCTGCTAATCTTCTGAATTTATTTTCCCATGTATGATCAACTCAGAAAACACTGCCCCAGCCACAGATAGACGACAGAAGAAATGTTCTGTGCAAGGATCCACTGGCAGTGATGGTGCTGAAGACAACAGATGTATTTGAATATGAGCCCTCAGAAGGGGAGAAGAGCGAAATGTTTCATGCCCTCGTGGCCACTGAAAAACGCTTTTTCCGAGTGAAAGTTCTAGACGTCAGTCTGAAAGAGAAGTTTACAATTAACAGCGTCATTACCATCTCTAATTACTTTGAATGTGTAGGAGACCTGGAGATAAACAAATCTTCATCTGTGTCTGCAACTGCTCTTACCCAAAAGTTTGTTATTCCTAAATGGGTTAGCAAGAAAGCAAATGAAACACCCAAGATTGATCACATTCACAAGGAAGCATCAGGAACAAATGTGTATGGGTTGTTCACATTAAAAAAGGTAATTTCTTAAAATTGTCTTTCCTGTTCCTCCACAAATATCTGGAATTAAATGTTTTGTTAGTCTCTGCTTATCTGACTGTGAAAACCAAGATACAGCCTTGACTAGAGATAGGAATGTAACCTTCCCACATATTACAAAGTAGGATCAGGTAATCTTGTGACATTCTGTTTTCCAAGATTCTTCCAAAAAAGTTTTGAAAAATCTTAACAAAAATGTTTCTATTTCCCTAGTTATGATTAACTACTCTGAGCCACAGGGGAAAGCAAGAATAATTCAGAATGTAGATGAATACTTAGGTTAATAATCTTATTTCTTTGAATTTCCCTTACCTATCTATATAAATCCACTCTCTCCTTTCCTTTCTTCTTTCCTTGCTTCTTTCTTTCTTCCTTTCTCCTTTCCTTTGTTCCTTCTTTCCATCCAGAGTATTTTTCTAATAAAAACTGAAGTCTGGTTGTCATAAGAATTTGGAATAATATCTGGACTGGCTGCTATTTTCATGAATGGAAACACCCTCAACAATATGAAAATTAAGGTCATTCAGTTAGTAGACATAACCATTCAATGTTGTCCTCTATATCGTATTTATTATTCATGAAGAATTTATTGAGCAGAGGAAAATTATTATATGACATTATGTTTGAAATACATATAATTTAAGACCTTCACTTAAAATAATGGAAGTGGCATTAATATATCAATGCTCAAAACTGGTCATCATACCAGAACTCTGCAGACTGAGCTAGGAGAATCACACCCTCAAATACAGCCTAAGCAACTAAGAGAGTTAGCAAGCCTATGTCAAGATGAAATCTTAGTAAAGTGTTGGGCATGTAGTTAGTGTCAAGGCCCTGTATTCAATCTCCAATACCATAAAGATCGCAAACTCAGTGTATTAAAATGATTCACTTTATTGAGTGTGTAAGACCCTGCACAGTGCAATTGGGTAATTATAGGTTAACTGGGATAGGATATTGGAAAAGAGTTAGTAAGGGACAAAGTTAAGAAAAGAATTGTGAGCTGCTAGATTGCTTATTATACAGACATCCTGCAGTCTATTAAATGAAAATGTAATAGGAACAGTAGCCCACTTACTCCTGTATAAAAAGAAGATTTGGATAAGTCCACAGAAAACTTAAGATTCTTCTGATTCCCCGTTCTATAAAAGTGAGTCAAAGTTGTTTTTGAAGAGATAGTAGCAAAAAAATAAGAAGAAAATTCATTGCTCTAGAATAGTTCCATAGAAAATATCTAGAATGAGAAAGGTAAAATTAAAATAATAAAACTAAGTTTCTTTGGGGAAATTTAGCCACAGCTATATGTATAAATGTGCCTGCAATAGGCTTCTTGTATTTTGTACTGACTTTGTCACAAAAGACTTTCTCAAACATATGGTAACTATTCTGTTTTCTTAAACTGAATGTTAATTTAATTTCCTTTAATGTTTGCAGAAAAAAGAGAATATGAAGAGAACAGTCTATCAAATACAGGACAAAACAGGACAGATAGATGTGATATGCACTGGGAAGTGGCGTGACCTAGACTGTAAGGAGGGAGACAAATTTCAGCTCTACTGCTTTCAAGTAAGGAGAATCAACAAGCAGCCAACGCTGATGTGTGGCTGCTACAGTTACATTAAGGTGAGAACTCGAGAGAGAAACAAGAAGTTGCTGAAGGGAAGCAATTTTCTTTGTAGGATTAGAAACAGCAGTTTCCTAGGAGATCACAACAATAATCAATAGGTGAGAGGAAAACCAAAAAAAAAAAAAAATGTCCTTGTTCTTATTTCCAAGTGGAGGGCTTTAAAAGATATTAATGAATTGTTATGCAGGTAGTCTTCAAAAGGATACTGTGCTTATGCTAAGCAATACAGTGTTTGAAGAAATTAAGATGTCAGGGAAGTCATTAAAATAGTGTTCCAGAACAAGGGTTTTGGATAAACCAAGATTGATTGATTCATTTATTTATTGATTGATTGATTTGTATTTTAGGGAAGGGTCTACAGGGTGTTCAGGGTCTCACTACTAGATCAGACTCGTAGTGATCCTCCAGTTTACAGGCTCTCAAGAGCTGGGATTACAGACGTGGGACACCACGCTCAGTCTCAATTGCCATCTTGGTGCACCCCGAGGGTGGGGCCACCATGGCAAGCCCAGAGATTGAAACTCTGGCCCCTGCACCTACTTACAGGTGCTTTAATCCACTGAGCTATTTGGCCAGCCCTAAGCCAAGATTTAAATTGTGGATTCAATGCTCATAAAGTGACTGATACCGGAGAACGAGTTTAATTGTTTTTCTCACATAACCAATTTCCATGTGTTGGTTTAAACATTAAAAGAGGCAGTGCATATATTTTATTTTTATTTTTTATTTTTTGGTGGAACCAGGGATTGAATTCAGGCCCTTGCTCTTGCCAGCCAAGCACTTATTCTACTGAGCTATCTCCCTGGCCCCTTAGTTGTTTTATTGCCTCAGATATCATGAGAAATGGGTCTATTGCAAGGACTATCGTTCTTTTCCAGATGAAGATAACAAAAGGAGAGCTGGGTAATAGAAATAACATGTACAGACTTGCTAAATGTGAAATGACATATGGATTCTGTAAAACTGAAACTCAGTAAATGCAGGAGACTTTTGAATAAGAGGCCAGTGACAGGGGCTAAAGGGACAGGTCAATGTAGGTTTCTGTCAGAAATTAAAAAATGAAAAAAAAAAAAACTGAAAATCAGTAAAACCTAAGGTTTTATGCAGAAGAAATCCTGATCAACTTCACATTTTACAAAAAGAATTCTGGTTACTAGAGGCACATTGGACAATAGATCTCGAGGTAAAGAAATAAGAAGGAATGGTACACTAATATCTACTCATACACAAACTACTTTTATTAAGTATTCAGACACTTTATGATTTATTTATAAAACCTGCAGTTGTTTGAAATTAGTCATGATGGAAGTACTTGTAATATACCAAAATCGGCAAGTAATAAAAATCAGAAATTTTTTTTAAAAAATTAGGTAGATAATTTAACAAAACATCACAAAACTCTGTTTAAGAATTCTATGGGAGAAGGGGAAAGGCAAATAGGACTTTCACTAAAGGCGGGAAAATATTTTTAAAGAAATGCACTTGTGGCTCTCTGATTCATTAAGTGGTAGTGGTGAGAAAACACAAAGCAATATGCACAACAGGCATCAAAATTTAAGTTCATAGATGAAGAGGATCAACATAGTTCAAGTGACCACGGGAAATTCCAGGGTCTTAGAATAACTGCATTTTGAACAGAAGGCACCACGCTTTAGTAAAACATGTATTCATAAGGAAAGAGGGTTGATTACATAGTATCTGTATTATGACCAAAGAGAAGGTGTCCCACCCACTAACTCATATAAAGCTATATCATAGGGTTCCTGACAAAATTAATCAAATACACATTTAAGTATAAATAATCCAAGTAGACATGCTGCTATATTGTAACACTGACATCTATACACACATTAGTTGTACTAGTTTTCAGATCTAGTACAAGAATTCATGCATTCTGCCTCCACCTGCTAATTCAGAATGACAGCACTGAGGAGAAAACAGCATGTTGGCTCCTGCTACTTTTCTGCTCCAGTAATGCTTCACAGTGAATAAACCAACCCTTTTCTTTCTGCTTATGGCTTATCCTCACCAACCATGGATGGGGAAAAGGTGACTGTAAATACAGGGATACAATACAAAAGATGAGTGGGTGAAGGCAGAGAGTGTCATAGAAGAAGGAAGGGACATACGTGGCAGAGGAAAGAAGCAATGATGGGCAGCAGAAGAAATTCAGTGAGAGATTTTTCTCTCACAATTACTGAGCTCTCATTGTTTGTTTGTTTGCTTTCTATTTTAAAGAAAAAAAACCTGGAAATAAATAACAAGACCAGGGGCTGGGGTGATGGCTCAGTGGAATAAGTGCTTCCCTGGCAAGCACAAGGGTCTGAGTTCAATCCCTGATTCCGCAAACAAAACAAATCAAATCAAAACAAAACCAAAACCAAAAACAAACAAACAACAACAACAAAAAGATTAAAGACAGTAATAGGGTCAGCCAAATAACTTGGTGGATTAAAGCTCCTGCAAGTACGTGCAGATGCCAGGGATTGGATCCCTGAGCCTGCCTTGCTGTTCCCACCCTGGGGAGAGCTGAGACTGCGACTGAGACTAGGTGTGGTGGTGCACGCCTGTAATTCCGGCTCTTTGGAGGCTGTAAACAGGTGGATCACTACGAGTCTGATACAGTAGAGAAACCCTGAACACCCTGTGGACCCTTCCCTAAAAAATGCAAAAATAAAATTAAAGAAAAAAACCAAAGCAATATAAGATAATACAAATGTACAGAATTTCAGAACAAGAATGGAATATTAACAATGGTTGTTATATTTTGTACCATAACTATTACATCAAATTTGTTGCTCATTTTTTGCTTCTTATTTCTCCTTTAAGGTCATCAAAAGCTCAAGAAAAAGAAGGAGCCAACCCATGTCAGTTTAAATCTGGAAGTTGAAGTGCACACCTAATTTTAAATGCCTTGAACCAGTGATACAACTAATTTTATGAGTGCATTTCAAACAATAGCTTTATGAGTGCTATGCAAAGAAATATTTTCCCTCTTCTTTTCAATTTTTCTTTTACCTGCAGAACATGCACATGTAGTACATGCAGTATATGCATGTGATGAGCATGTCATTTCCTGCTGAAATATACCCTCAACCCCAGGAAGCTTTCTAATTTGTAGATTATGTTGTTTCCATCATTTTTTTAAAAAAAATGTTTGTTATTCTTTTACTGCTTTGCTAAGAATGATACATTTTGCATTATAATATCCATGATGTAAAAAAATAAATTTTCTTCTATAAAGTATTTCATTTCTTAAAAGTGTCAGATATTAGTTTTTTAACTCAAGAGTGAGCCGTCTGATTCTTTTTGATTTGTGCACTGTAGGCCAATGGGGTGACAGACACAGGGCTTTTCAAAATTGGTGCTTCCTTTCCTTATAATAAAATCTCTTGTTTACTGAAAGACAAAAATCACATTTCTACCATGTTGTGTTGATCCAGGTGTTCTTTTTTAAATTTAATTTTATTGAGAAACAAATAGCATTGAGACAGTTTCAAAACAGGTTAGTATTACAGTTACAATAATTAATACATTGCATATTGTTCTCTTCATAGTAGTTGTTCATCGTACAAGATGCAGACATGACATCTTGTCTAAACACTATTAGTACAAATCTTTCTTCTCATTGAATTAAGAGAAAGTGGTTGTATATCTATCATGACTATTTTGAATATACATATATATTTTTTCACTACAAAATTGTCCTTCATTTATATCCCCCTTTTTTGTTTAGTTTTGTCAGAGAGGGGTATTCCATTGCCATTTAAATATTGTAGGTGCGTGAATTCAGCAAAATAATCCAATATAGTCCAGTAGTCCACAATAGTAGTTTCAGAAGTTGTTGACTTGAGTCTTTTACAGCTCAGGATTTTAACATGGCTTTACTTTTTATGCCTCATTTTTATACTTTTCTGCTGGATGGTTAAGACTAAGGTAAATCTAGACCTATATAACGAGAAATGTAACTTTTGTATCTGACAAAGTCAGTCAAATCCCTTCAAGATTTACCCTGATACCCTGTACCACAGTTTGTAGATCTTTTGTCAACATCAGCCATGTGGATGAGTCATGGCCATTGCTTGACCAGTTTGCTCTCTGTGAAAGCCTGAGAGAATGTTTTCTCTGTAGGTGCCTCTTCTTAGGCACAATCTATTTCACTGATCACTTTCCTCTGTGGCTCTATAATCTCCTTGATCAGAATTTTGGGACACCACTAAGTTACAGGATGTTATATGGTACAGGTTCTCTTATGGTGTCTCCTTTCTAATCGGGATTTTCAGACACAGTCCTACCAGGACTATATCTAGATGCAAGTTAGTCCACCCTTGGCTCATGAGGAAGGGTTATGTCTATTAAGAGAAAAAAAACATATTTTTTAATTATACATACTCTAAATGACAATAAAAATTGCCTGAACTTTTTGAATATCCAAAATTAGCATTTAAAAAATAACCATCAGCTTTCCTCTTTGGCAGTTGTAGAATAGCATATACAGCACAAGTAATGTCATTGCTGAACAAAACAGCCTCTAGTTATAGCATTCATGCTTTTAACAATAGAGATAAGATACCTGATAGAGCACAAATTTACAAAACAACCTCTTCAACTCACCCAGATGTCTGAGATTTTCTGGTTGCAGAGTTATGCACTTTACTAAAGCATGAGAATCACTTGGGGCCTAGAAGGTGACTATCACATTTCATGGCATCTAAATTGCGGATGCCAGTGAAAGAAGCTATTCCGTGTCTGGAGCATTTTATTAACCGAGCTCTGGGTTGCCACAGGACTCTGAGAACACGTAACACCTTACAGAGAATAGCTGCTTTCAACTGAAGAACAAAACAGAGGTAAAGAGAGTAAACAGTGCTGGGAATGTTAGATGATGCTAGAACTCATACATTCTTTAAACTCTGCATATCAAACTGTAAATCCTGGGTATCTAATGAAACAAAAATGTTATACCTTAAAAGTAAAGGACATGGAGTAGAGTCATTGCTAATCTAGAGCCATCTTAAGAAGCCTGAAGCTGAGACCCAATTGACTCAGAGAAGTGACAGTCTAATCTGGCAAAATACCTAGAAAAAGGAAAATTATTTTCTAGTCAGGGTTTATATCTCCTCATTACCACAAGGCATACAATAAATCTCATACCTGTGATTGATCAGCCAGTAATTAAGGAAATTGTGAAAATAACAATCATGAACAAAGGCAGACTGAAAACAATCCAAAATCTTGAAAAAAAGCACTATTCAAAACTTTGAATGTATAATGTAAAATTACTAGGCATACTGAGAAAGAGGAAATCAGGACTTCTCTTCAAAGGAGAAAGAAAAGCATTTAGAATGGTCAACAAGAGACCAGGCACAGTTAGGCCTCACTGTCTAGTTCTTTGTTGCCTTACTGAAAGATTTTACTCAACAATGTAGGTGGTCATGCAGAAGGACAGGTATAATTTGTTGTAAAGTGAATATATAGAGAGTTAAACTTTCAAATGAGAAGGGGGAGTGTCACGAAGACCTCTGCAGCAAATGCAAATTTGAATATATTTCTGCATACATACAAGTTACTTCTGGGGCTCATGAAATGTGGTGATTATGAAGTTTATTGATACATTTTCTTATGGTTCCATTGGGATGACAATATCTTATTCTTTCAGGTGATCAGTATTCCCTCTGTATTATAGGAGAAACATCGTGAAATCTTTCCACTCTCATTCTAAGGACAGAAATTCTTTAAGGAACTCTCCCTTTCTCTTTCTCTTTCTTCTTTTTGGAGAAGGAAGGGGATTGGTACCAGGGATCAAACTCAGAACCTTGCACTTGCCAGGTAGGCACTTCTGCTGTTGAGCTATCTCCGTGGCCCATTTCTCTCCTTTCTGCCATCAGAGTCTTTTTTCTCAGAGTCCAGTATACATATTTTATTATTAAGTTTATTGGTACAATTTATATATTCATTGTGATCATAATCATAGGGAATTTATACCCTTACATGATATATCTTGATCCCTCTTTTTTTCCTAGCCCTCTCCGCTCCCGCCAATCCCTCTTCCTTTATCTACAAAGCCTTGTGTCTATTTTTGCCATCTGTTATAATTTTCCCCTTACTTCCTTTCCTCCTTCCTCCCATTCTCCCTATCATTTTGAGTAATTTCTCCCCATTTTAAGTATGTTTTACATATTTTACACTTTTAGTTTCTCAGACCAGAGACAATACAAAATTTACACAGTTGTCTGATTTATTTCATTTAAATTCCTCTCATTTTGTACAGAGAAATTCTGTATCATTTCTAGTATCATTTTCATTATTTTTTATTCTGTTTTTTAAAAAGGGGCATGGTCTCTAAGTACCTCCATTCACTTGGAAATTACTCAAGTTTATCCTTCTCTGTGGCTGAGTAGTACTCCATTGCACAGAAAAACCACATTTTTTTCATCCATTCATCAGTTCATAGTTATTTGAGTTGTGTCTAAGATTTACCTGTCACAGACTATGCCACTATAAATAGATGTGCATATATTGCTGTGGTATGATATTTTCAATTCATTTGAAAAGATACCAAAGAGAAAAATAGCTGGGCTGAATGGGATTTATAATACCAGCTTTTTCAGTAATCTCCACACTAATTTCTACAGTGGTTGAACTAGTTTTCACTCGCACCAATAGTACAGAAGGGTACCTTTTCCCTTAAATTCTTGCTAACATTGTCATTGGTAGGTTTTTTATTTTTTTCTTTTTCTTTTCTTTTCTTTTTTATTTTTTTTTTATTTTTTTTTTTATTTTTTTATTTTTTTTTGTATTTCTGGAGAAGAGTCTACAGGGTATCCAGGGTCTCACTACTAGATCAGACTCATAGTGATCCCCCTGTTTACAGCCTCAAAGAGCTGGGATTACAGGAACACACCACCACGCCCAGTCTCCATTGCTGTCTCAAGGGTGGGGCTGACACCACAGGCCCAGGGAGCGAACTGCCGGCCTCTGCATCCAATTGCAGGTGCTTTAATCCTTTCAGGTATTTGGCTGGCCCTCAATTCTTAATAATATTCATTTCTGGAGTGAGATGAAATCTCAGCATCATTTTAATTTGCACCTCTCCAATGGTCAGTGATGTCAAACATTTTCTTTATATGTGTATTTGCCATTTCTACTTCTTCATCTGAGAGCATGCGTTCATCACAGATGCCCATTTTTGAATTGGGTCTTTAAATATGTGGGTCTCATTACTTTCAATTTTTACATATATTCTAAACATTAGTCCTTTGAATATCAAATAGCTATTTTTTTCTCAATCAGTGGGATTCTTTGTAGTATTTTTTGTGCAGTTGGGGTTTTTGTTCATCAAGTCTTTACCTACACCTACATTTTCAAGAATTCTATTTTATCTTCCAGAAGATTTAATGTTTCTGCTTTAATATTTAGAGCTTTGATCCATTTGGATGTTAGTTCAGTGTATTGTGAAGGACATGGTTCTAGTTTTAGTCTTCTGCATGTGGAAAGTCAGTTTTTTCCATCACCATTTATTAAAGAGTTTAACTTTTGTCCTGTGAAGGTGTTTGGTTCCTTTGTGAAAGATAAGGAGACAAAATGTGTTCGGAGTTGTCTCTACGTCCTTAATCTGTTCTATTGATTCTCAAGTTTCTTTTTCTAGGACCACGCTGTTTTTGTCACAGTAACTTTGTAATATAGTTTAAAGTCATAAATTGTGATGCCCTTGCCTTGCCTTGTTGATTAGGATTGTTTTTGTTATTCTAGGTCTCTTCTGGCTTCAAATGAATTTTAAGAATGTTTTCATTAGTCCTGATTGTATGCTAATGGTATCGCTACTGGGATTGCATTAAATATGTATAACAGTTAGGGAAGTATATTCATTTTCACTATGTTGTTTCTTCCTACCCTAAAGCAAGGAATGTTTTTCCATTTTCTGACATCCTCTTCAATCTCCTTTTTCTTTTTTTTTTTTTTTTGAATTAAAGTATAGTTTATTTATATCACAAATTTAAAAACAAATCATTAACTTTGATCATAGTTCTCATTTTGTGTGTTACAGAGGACCATCTGTTTAGAGGGCATTCATCAAAATGTTGAGCCTTTTCTTATTAGCCTTGATCAGATAAAATGTATTTTTTTGTAATTCCTACTTAATTGGTATAAAATGTACTACTGGTGATTTAAAATAATTGTCACTAAATTTCTCAAGATGTATTGCATAAAGACATACCAGATTGTCACAGTACCATCAGAGTTTAATTGATCTAATTTATATCTCATCTTATAAAACTGCACATTATCATTCTGCCTTTCTGTGACCAAATGATTGCAGTCTTGTCACTTGTATTTATACATGCCATTAACAGATGAAAACTCTTCCA